GCAATCGAGTGACCATCCGACTATCATCCAATGAATAACGTCTTATGATGTTTTTAGTTGATATTTATATGTATTTTTTTTAATAACTTAAGAAAATATATGAATAATCGGTTGAAGTGGTGGATAAATTGGTTAAAAATTGGATCAAAATATTGAACGAATCCAATCATGTCTGATGAATAACCAATATTAACAACCAATAGATGGAACCAAACCGATCCAATTATCCATTGGATTGAATGATCAGATGTCCAATGCTAGTCAGATTGGATTGGATGACAAAATCCAATATCTAATGGATGATTGGACCGAATCTACCTAAATATATTGGATGTCAATCGATCAACAAACCTAAATCGAATATGGAGGACTCAAATCTGGGGTTTAATTTTCAACAAGTGGTATCGAAGTATTTTCATATTGGTTATAAGGAAATAATTAATGTATTATCATATTTATTTTGTTTATGTTCATTTATATTTTTTAGTACATAAAGTACCCAGGGATTAATTACATATTCATCTAAACAATGTTTTATGAGTCTATGTTGGTATATATAATCAATATAGTTTTTGATTCATATATAACAAAGGTTTCATTCTTATAGGAGTATCTAGTATTTGGAATTAGTTGATTAAAGCAAGATGTTACCCGATGCAGATAATTATTGGGTCAAACTAGACAAATTTAGTCTTGATTATGCCCTACGAATGAGATAGAGTCTACAACGATGAAAGATACTCCTTGTAAGGACACCATGATTCTTCAACTACACACAATGGCCTAAGTGGTCTTATACTAATTTAACTATGGGGTTACCAATGTATAGAGGCCAATGGCTTGAAATTAACTTGTGATGAGTTTATTATGGTACTTTGGTTAATTATGGTCCTGTATGTAGTTAGAAAGTTATGAGTTACAAGAATTCTCTCTATATTTTTAAGGACCCTTTTCTTTTGATACCTCATCAACTAGAGAAGTTTCCAGTTAGAAGAATAATGACCTAAAACGGGGATTGGAATGGTTGATTTATCACCATGGATGCAGATATGTTTTCACTTTATTTTCTTCTTTATAATTGATCCAATATGAAGGATTAAATGTAAAAATAGTATCTAAAATAAGCAACATAACCCTTTGCCATTGCAAGATTTGTGGCACTGAAGTCTGTGACATATATAGTTTGCCTAATGTTTGTAAGATATTGTTATCTAAATTTCTAGAATGCAGGACTACACCACTGATCTATGTATAACTACCTTTGTGTCAGTAATGCAAAGAAGATAATCACTGCTATATTACATCCTATAAAATGTATCTAGAAAATAAGTATTCCAAATACTATAGCGGATGCATTTTTTCGGGTTAACAAATGATTCCAAGATTTATAAAAAGCAATTCATACTAAACCCGTAGTGTGTTTGTGTATATAATTCTATTGTCGTCTGTTCTTGTAGTATAACTCTAACCTCAGATGTTCATATAAAAGACCAAAGTGCTAATAAGGAGGTAATTGGTGGTTGAGATCATTCTTGGTTGATAAAAACTAGATAAATTATGAATTTTCTTCCCGGGTTATAAATCATAAGCCGACTAGCTTTTTCAGGGAAAAAAATATCATATGTGCGATAACATTTTATCAGATTGTTGTATATCAACCAAGTAAGATGGAATGAAACTAAAACATATTGAATGAACACCCTCTAATTATTATATCCTAAACCCAAATTAGACTTCTTTTACATGAATATAAAAATAAATACTAGCATACCATTTACATTTGTAATCGACTTATTATACGGAATGCAACGTAGTTGTCTTACATTTGTCATTCTAACCAGATTCTATTGACTCGTGAATAACATTTAACAAAAGCTTATGACTATGACCTATAGTGAGGCTCTATGCCAATACTAAAACAAGGGTCTTAGGAATAATAATATGAAAGTGTGATGCTATGTAATATGCATCATGAACATGTTTTTATATGAATATAGATCTGACGGGTGATCCCAGAGAGTCCTGGTCACGTGCAACCCATGTGACCTTACAGGGAAGGGATATCCACATATGATGGAAATGGAACCACAAAGGCAATTAATGTCGATGATGATGTTAAGCGTTGAAGTTAACATATATATATATATATATATATATATATATATATATATATATATATATATATATATANTATATATAGGGTCAAGATCAAATGTTAACCAAAGTTTTTGTGTTAACTTTGTTAACCGATCTTGGTCATTCAATCTTTCAATAAACGGTTGTGATTAATCATTATAAATACTTATTTTTTTWAAATTTAAAATTTCATAAACATAAGTGAACAAAGTTGAAAAGGGTATTTAGGTATAAAAAAAATTATGTAACTCCCATATCATTAACTGGGAGTTACAAAATCAAAAAAATTTATGATTTTTGTTAATTTATTTTTGTTAACGTAAAAAACATATGAACACAACTATATATATATATGAACCATTGTATCATATACAATTTTTTTTGACAAATATATGAACTTGGACTGTATAGCATTTATGAACACAATATGAACATAATAAGAATAACTGCTATATGAAAGAAAATAAATAAAAAACAGGTATAAACATAATATGAACAGCTTTTGAACAATAGTTAATTAATTATAAACGCATTCAGGAGCGATCATTTGTCAATTGGAGTTTTATACATGCATTGCATCCACACCGGTTAAGGTCCACCCTTTGTTCATATATGTTTCTGGTCTTATGTGGTTGTTCAACCCTTGTTCATATCGTGTTCCCCCCTTGTTCATATCGTATAAAATATATGAACACATAACCCCGACGCTATGAACATCAGGTGCAAACACTTACACAAATATAAAGATTTGGTATCAAGCTTAAAAAATAACACTTGTGTTCATATGATATAAGTAACATGAACACAATGGTTCATGATTCATAAAATTCGATAATATGACAATATGAAAATGAGTCGTGCATGTACTTCCATTTGAACATGTGAATTAGGTATGTATTAATAGTTAAAAAAAAGTTATCAATGCAATATGAACTACAAAAAACACAACACATCATAATAAACATAATTTCGATTAAAACGAGTCTAATAAAATATTAATTCATTACCAAGACATTCACTTTGGTTAATTTCTTCACTTCCCGAACTCGAAATCCGATTGTCACCATAAACCATTTTAATTTTCTCAATGTTTTCGATTTTTTTTCTAATTCGTTTATCCATAATAGCTTGAACGATACCGAAGATTTTACTACCGTGTTTCCTCCACGAATCAAAAACTCATTAAACAATAAAAATGGAAGATCAAAATTAGAAAATAAATAAAAATATCAATATTATAAATGTATATTTTTAGGGATTTAATGATTTTGTAACTCTTCTTTAATGGTATGGGAGTTACATAGGAAATGAAATTACTCAATTACCCTTGGCATTAAATTGTGAACAAGATAAAAACCTAATAGAAGAATGGATTGTGATTGGTTGACATGGTTTGCAAAGTTAATACAAAAACTTTGGTTAACATTTGATCTTTTCCCTTTATATATATATATACACACACGAGACAAAAGGTTTGCCAAAAGTATAATTTGTCGAATAAGCATAGAATTCACACCATAAACGTATTCCTTATACTAGGAAGCAACAACGATACATAGAGATTTTTGTACATGTTTATACTATCCCTATATAAGTGTCAAATTAAGTCTCATTTGACACTTAAGGCATCGGTTAGAGGCACCCTTTAGATAAGGCACTGATTCAAATAATAATAATTAAAGACGGTGATCGTTCTTTTATTACTTTGGATGATTTATTTTACTTGTAAAAAACAAATTTGAAAAAGTAACAACTTTTTTTTTCTAACGGTACATAGTTCATTTGTATATCAACACACTCTCATAATCATTAAACATCAATTGGTTATGTTCAATGTTGTATCTAGTTTTTGTTTTCGAAAATGAGTTTTCCTTTCAAGATTTATTGGTTCTAATTTTGATCAAGTTCAAAATCAAACCCATACATGAACCGTTCTCCTTTTATAAGCTTGAAACAATGTCGTTTTAAGTTTGTATTTTTTAAATTAAAACCGATCCAAGTATATATTCGGTTTATGGTTTGGTTATAAACTGAACGGAATCGTTCAATTCGGCATCTTAATTTGATGGTCTCACATCTTTTATGTATATCATTTCTTTGTATTTATCTAGTATATATAGCTTGTAATCTTTCTTCTATTTTATAGTTGAGGTTTCATTCTTCTTATTGAGACCCTTGTACCTAATATATATATATATATATATATATATATATATATTCTAATGCAAAGGATCGATCTTGATTAATAAAGACCCTTCTCCACCTTCTTTTCTTCTGAGTTTCAGTCTACAAAGTTCTTCCTGGGTTAACCTTACACACCGTTTTTTTTGGACGAGGCTATGTTATCGATGAAGATGACGTCATTGACATTCGATACAAAAGAGATATGGTCGGTGATTTTAGCAGGCGCCGGTAAAAGCGGGTTTTTAAAGTTTAGTGTGTGTTATGTCAAATTAACCTGGGTTCCAATTAATTCCAGTGACGTTTAAATTTGGTGTGTTATATTATGTCTCACTTTTTTCGATCCATAATATGATATCGAGCTACTAATTGCTTCAAATGGATCCAGTCGCTAGTTTGATCTGGGAATCATGGAATTATGATCCAGATAAGGTGAAGGAATCCAAATCCAAATCCAACCCCTTATCCGTTAATGAAGAAAAATACAAAGTGGATGAAGCCCTGGCTCCACCACTTGGCCGGAACACCAAACAACCATGACGGATGCACTGGTTGCCGCTCAGAATTCACTTACAAAGACATTTTAAAAATTCAAATGCAGTGCAGATTCATCCCTACATGGACAAAAAGGTTAAAGCCATGAGGTAATTATTAATAAAACAATAAATCAATATTAATTAAAATTACTGAAAACTCCATAAAGACCCGTCATCACCACATTCCACGTCATCAGTAAAGTTATCCGTCTTAGGTGGCGACACCATTAGTCCCTCCGCCATGCTGGCAAAAAATTCTGGCATTTCAAACACATCCTCTTCATCAATGTAAAATGAACTTTCCGACGAATACTTCCATTCCTCAATCTCTCCCACATCCTGTCTCGGTCGGAAGGCCTCTGCTGCCTCTGCTGCCGCCTTTTGAATATCCTTTATATGGTTAGACTCCGGGACGGGAAGCCGTGACAGTGAGTCAGCAAAATTTAAACATGCAGAACGCCCCCTCATGGCCAAAACCGCCACATCATGTGCCCTGGCTGCCATTTCAGCAGTGGGATGCGTCCCTAACCACACCCTGGTCTTGGTGTTTGGCTCTCTGACCTCACAAACCCACTTACCGGAATTCCTCCGCCTGACTCCCCGGTAAACTGGGTGTCTGGTCTCCTTGAACTTCTTCCTTCCAGCTCTCTTTTTTGGGTTATTTTCAGCCAGCATCACTTCCTCATCCCCGTAACCATTGCTACTTCTGCAATCAGAAGGTGAAGCAGGATCTTCCAGTGAATTCATGATTTATAGTTTTGTATAGTAGTCTTCCCAAGTGATGAGTGAAGTTAAGGGTTTGAGTATGCAGTTTGGTCGTGCATATATATATATATAGTATTCATTTGGAGTAAAGAAGCCAACTGGATCCGGTGGTGGAGAAAGGAAAGAGGTGTGTTTTATTTGCCACGCGGTTGATGCCCATATGACGTGGATCATCCAACAAAACTTACATGTTACGATATTTTTTAAACTACACAACTCGTCCCTTTACTTGTCATCTATATGCATTTTAGTTCGTTAACATTTGTAACACAGATAATGATAGTTATTTAACTATAAAATTAACAAATATCTATTAATTAAATAACGTAATATGAAAATAACATATCACTTAACAATCTTCATTCCATAGCTTGTAGTTCCAACTTCCAACTTATATATAAAGAAGAACTGAACAAACATACATAATAAATGTTGTTTGTTGTGTTGGAATTATAATCCTTGTTTGGTTGTATTGCTCAAAGTTCTGTTAGTGTGCAATTAGTTACATATTTTAAAAGAAGTGTAAAAAACAAAAGGTAAGGTACTAAATGTGTTAATAGGTGTATAGTCTAGGGGCCATACGTAAAATCTACGATGTTGACAACAAGAAACAAAGAGAGCTAGTTCGCTAGTAGTGGGTGTGAACATTTATGAAAAAGAAAATATATAATTGATTAAAATTTTTCATAAAGAATATATTAATTAATTAGATAATAGTAAAAATAAAAGTATAATTAATTGAAGAGAGAGATGTAAAAAGTAATAATTAATCAGAAATTAATTAATTAATAAGGGGTTGATTTTTGAAGCAAAAGTGATGGAGATTGAGGAGACTCTGAGCCATACAATTTAAAGGATGTGAGTTGCAGCCAATCAAATCCAAGGGTTTTTTAGATCATCACCTGTCACCATAACACTTTTTTTACTCTAAATAGCCAAATTTGAACAACCTCAAATCCTACCCAAAAAAAAGAAATAAATATTATAGAACAATTAATAAATAACAATATTCCTACAAAACAACCACAAATAGTAATGATGATATTAGTAAATAACAATACAGATTAAAAAAAGTTGAAAATTCCTTCGCTGATCCAATGTTAAAAAGGGTCTTTCGTCGCCGATCCGTTACATCGTCTGTCGGTCAAAAGCTCGTAGATAATGCTATCAACGACAAAAATCAGCGAAAGAATCTTTCAATGACGGATCAGCAAGAGAAACTTTCAGCGACTGAACAACGAGGGATTTTTCAGCGTCGAAAACTTTCAGCGACAAATTTTCTCTCACTGATCCGTCGCTAATTTTTATTGGATAAAATTGGAGGTCTTTTGAACGTATTAAAAAGCCTACTTGTAATGGTTTGACTACTTGAAAGTCAGACCGTATGTTTAAAGGGTTTTGGATGACTTTAAAAATGTCAATGAGTTTAAAACACAAACCTATGTTTTTTAAAATTTCAACGGTATAACGACAATTAAATGAATATTTTCAAACAATTAAGCCCAATGTTTGCCTAATAATTGGCAACCGAACTAATTAATAACACAAGTTATGAATTAAATAACAAACTATTGCATCATATACGAATAAGATAACATAACTTAATAAACATAATATATGGACCATTTGGTCTTAAATTTCAAATCCAAATCCAAATCAAAGCTTGATTATAATTAACAAAATCCTTTTAACATTATGTAATAAACATAATTATTTCAAGACCATTTGGTCTTAGATTACAAATCTCAAATCAAACTTGATTCTAGTTAACAAAATAGTTTGATTTTACCTTTAAAATCTCAAATCCTAACTAACCTTTAAAATTCTAAATCTCAAATACAACTTCTAAAACACACCCTTTTATCATTTGTTTAACCCAAATGTATATAGAAAATTTAACAAACTTATATAGAGTAATATTTCACATTTCATCAAAATAATCCTAATGTTTGTCCAACAATTATTAATGCAAACTAACAATGATTTAAAACTAAAATTTATAAAACTAACAGCTCAAAATAACTTTTGAGATTTGCAAAAAAAAAAAAAAAAAAAACTTGCAAATTAATCATAATGTTTGCCTAACAATTGGCAACCCAAACTAACAATGATTTAAAACTAACATTTNAAAAAAAAAAAAAACTTGCAAATTAATCATAATGTTTGCCTAACAATTGGCAACCCAAACTAACAATGATTTAAAACTAACATTTATAAAATTAACAACTCAAAATAACCATTGAGATTTGGAGAAAAAAAAAAAGACTTGCAAATTAACCTTAATGTTTACCAACAATTGGCAACCCAAACTAATAATGATTTAAAACTAACATTTATAAAACTAACAACTCGAAATAACCATAGAGATTTGGAAGAAAAAAAAGACTTACAAATTAACACTAATGTTTGCCCAACAATTGGCAACCCAAACTAACAATGATTTAAAACTAACATTTATATACTAATATTTATAAAACTAACAACTCAAAATAACCCTTGAGATTTGNATTTATAAAACTAACAACTCAAAATAACCCTTGAGATTTGCAAAAAAAAAAAAAAACAATTTACAAATTTTAGGGTCAGAGGTTGGAGATGAAATATGTCGTCAGCGAGGTGGGAGGAGGTGGTAACAGTCGCTGGCTAGATGCGAGTGGTGGTGACGGTTGGTGGTCTCGAAGTTGTTGTCGGTGGGAGTGGTGGTGACGGTCGGTAGTAACAGACGAGCGATGGTCTCGAATCTGGTGGTGGTCTCGCTGATCAGCAAGAGAACTGTTTTTTTTTTGTCATTCCCTCACTGATCCCTCGCTGATCAGTGATGGAACTGGCTTTTGGCCAATTCTCTCGTAGATCAGCGAGATAACTTCTTTTTAATTCCACTAGCGAGAGAACTGATTTTTGGTCATTCCCTCGGTGATCAGCAAGGGATTTTTTCCATCGCTAATTTCCGTCGCTAATACTTTGTTTTCTAGTAGTGATAATATTGTAGGTTTAAATTGAAACTTTGGTTATGTGAATCAAACTGGGTTTCACTGGTTTGACTAGGTTGACCAAAGTTTGATTAGAGTTGACTAGTTTAACCAAAGTTAACTAATTTGACTTTTTGAAGTATTCCGACCGAAATGACTATATTGTCGGTTTTAGTTTTCAAATGTGTATTTGGAGATAAGTTATAGGAGGCTTAAATCCACTGTTTCGTTTCAGGTCATGATATGATTGATTATAGATAACTTTTGGTAAGTTGGACCAATAATGGGTTTATATTGTGTAGCTCATTAACCAGGAGTGAGTGATTTGCCAAATTATGCATTTTCTTTGGGATGCATGCCTATGTTTAATAATACATGTTTCATTCCAATATGATAGCGAGTAAGTAGCAACATGAGTCACATGTATTATGTTATTTTTCATATATATGATCTAATGTTGATGACAAGCATGTTATGGTCTTAAAGTATTTACTTCAAATAGAATGGTTATGAGGATTCAAGGAGCATGTTTAAATAAATATGATTATTAGAGTATATATGGTTTCAGTATCGAGACATCAAGATTTTAGCAAGCATGTGTTAGTTATGAGGATTAATTAGAACGGTAAGGATCAATAGCTTCCGCACGGACCACGTGGCAATATAGACCATATTATACGAACAAGTTATGAGATATGATCTCAAATTCTATTTTTGGAAATTCATATACTAAACTAGGAGCATATTTATTTATGATGTATATATGTTAATGAAGAAGAGATATGTTAAGCATATGTTTATTTGTTGCATGAAACGATATTTGGTGAACTTTTTAACTAATTAGGTGCATGCATCTATGGGATAAGAACTTTGGGACGAGCCAAAAGTAAGGGAGACGCCTAAGCTAGCTAGACCTCATATATATCAGCCTTTATAATTCATTTATAAAAATCTTTATTCCGTATGGGATGTAATGGAACTTCTTAGGGCTTTTTTGGTTTATGTTTTCTTTGTGAAAGACTATTGCAATGAGATTGTTTCCAGTTTTGGAGTGAGTTTTGTTATGGTGATTGATTTTATTGAATCGTTGAGATTTATTAATAAGGAAGACATAACATCACGTGATTAAAAAGAGGACGTTATATCATCTTCAAAAAAAGAAAAGGAACAGGAAAATATCGTCATCGATAACTCCTAATTTAACATGAAGAATGCAAAATTAAAATTAAACAATGAAGTGTTAGCATTCATGAAGACATCCTGTACAAAAAAGCAACATGTTCCACATCAAGCAAGTGAGCAACCATCAAGAGAGGGGAAGGTCTCAAACCTTGGTGCCATGATGAGTTTGCATGTGTGGTGCTGATTGGATTGAGCTTGGCTTCAAAGGTCAAAAGTATCAGGAAGTCCCAGTTTCAAATCCAAGAAGGAATAAAAAATTCTTTTGTGGCCACAGAGGTTCAAATGCGGTGACTCCGAGTTATCTGCAAAACAGGTGGTCGCCCTGAGATTAAAGAGCTTTTTAGTGGGTTAAAAATAGCATATATTGAAATACACTAGGATAGGTTGAAAAAGAATGCATGATAATCCTAATTTAACTCAAATAACATGCAATTTTAATACATATGTTGTTTTAATTAGTTGATAATTTAATAATTAGAGAAGTTTTTAAACTAAATATCTGATAATATGTTAAATAATAAATTTAATTATAATCTTAAAAGTAATTAATATACACAAAAAAAAAATATTATGGTTAAACAAGATATACAAATATAAATGTAACTGATTTACTTACACAAATTAAACATATGGTTATAGTAAAATTATAAATTAATAAATACATGTCAAATATAAAAATGATACAATTTAGCACTAACTAGTTAGAGTAAGAGTTGATTAGTGTTAGGGGATCTTCTTGCTAATTTATAATATCCAATTTAAAACACAAAAAAATAGTTGGAAAAAAACCTAATACAAATTAAAATATCCTCTCTCTCTCTCTTTATTTTT